AACAACCAATCTTTTGTTGTTTTTCCCCCTATGAAATTGGATGTATGAGGGCGCACTTCAATTAGGTGTGTTAGCTGTGTACGTTTTGTCTTGTTTATTGACAAGTACACGTGACCTTTGGAACTGAGAAGTTAATTTGACACTTACAGCGGCAGGTTTTCTGAGATACTAGAATGTAGCCAAAAATTATTAAATCTGTTTTGTACAAATTTGAGCTGGACAAGACACGTTTTTTTTTTTAACTTGATGCACGAGTGTGGCTAAAACAACTTAGACATTTTTAACTTTGGAAGGGGTTATTTGGTAGAAAAAAATCAAAACAATTATTTCGTCGTCTGCTGAAATAGTATTAGTTGTTTGAAACTTAAACATGGATATTACCAGTATGTGTAATTGTTACCACTTGGTGGCGCTATTCCATATAATAAATAAATAAACAGGATTCCAATATTTTAATGAATAAAATTCAGCGATTAGAATACAAATAAATTGTTCACTCCTATCTACCATATAAGTTTCTATCTATGGTAGGTATTTCTCAATTCACAGCCCTCTGGTGTCCATAATACTTACAGTGGTGATCAAATTATTTCCAATCAAATCGTGGTTTGGGGTCTGGATAATAGGGCGGACAATTAGAAACCCTGCGATGGCAGAATTAAAAAAATGCAAAAATAAAGGGGTGAGAAAAATACTGCAGAGATCAATCACCCCCCCCCCCCATAATCGCACGGCTATTTATTAGGAAAAAAATAGCACGAAACCAAGTGAAGGAAAATAATATTTTGCATAGATTTTTTTTGCTATCACCGCTAGAGGTTTAAAAGGCAGACCATGGAGGCAAAAGAGGTAAAATCTGTCACTTGAAGCTACAATGGGAGTTAAACGGTGTGTGAGAGAGTGGTTCCCACATTCAACACAAATATAATATATGAATGGTGTTTTATTTTACGATTCCAAAAACACAGTCTGCAAAGTGTGCTCGATGGTCAGTGTCTGCTCTCTGGCAGACAATTTCGTGCGACACCCAATCACCCAGGACACGTACATTTGTTCCCTGCACTTATTGATGAGTAGCGCCCTCTAACGACGGGATACTTTTGGGCAATACAATATTGTTAACTATAGAGGGATTCTTCAGGTGGCTGCGTAGTCATTTTGGCATTTAGTAAACAAGGTAAATCTCTAAAAAAAAAACATTATTATTTTTTACTGCAACGTGTATATGCAGTACGAAAACGAAAATGTTGTTAAGGCGCACCACTGTACAATGTATTTCTATGGGCTCTGCGGAAACTGCTGTGGAACGCCGGTCTAAGTGACGGTGAATATAGCTAAATTCGAGAAAACAACACAAATTCAACTTTGAAGTAATCCTGAACAACCAAATTTATATATGTTGCACATGCAGAGGTAATCTTATTACACTGTTCAGGGGAGTCTCAACAACCACCCCAAAGTACCATTTTCTGAGAGTTTTTAACTGTTGTTTTCATTAGTTGTGGTTACCAGGTGGTGAAAATACCCGGATGTTCGCTCCCGAGATTATATATTGGTGTTGGGTATTAGTTCGGCAATGATTACCACGTGTAGGCGACCTGATTGGCCACATGAACCTATCCATCAGCACCAATGTTCATTTCCACAATAAACACATACATTCTTAGCAGCAGCAGCACAATGATGAAACACAGAAAAAAAAACATTTTTTTTTTTTTCATTTTAATTTTTCATCGAACAAAAGTTTTCTTTGATTCTTTTTTCATAAATTCTGCCAAAAACCTGAGTGCATATTTTTAACTGACCCGCGTGGTGACCAAAGTTGGTTTTTCTGGGGCTGATGCCTATGATGAAGGGGTATTCATGTCTCAATAAAAAACATCTAAGGCTTGTTGGCTTCTTTCGAGTATTTGGATTCTTCTTTCATTTCACATGTATCACCTGTATAAACAGAAAAAAATATAATAGTCATCAGTTTCTCACTAACACGTCTCGCGCCCCCAGCAACGACGCGCTACTGTGACGTCAAAATGACGTAGTTGGTTGAAGTCAATGACGTCCAAAGCGACATCTTTGTTTCGCTGTGTATCATATCAAATTTAGTAAATCTTTCATTTTTATTACACATCAACACATTGTTGGCGATGCGGCTGGCTATTCACCTATTTATGCCACAAAAGCGCGCAAGAAAAACTATTAGGTAATGTATTTATACCCTTGCCTATAAATAGCGCCCTCAAGCACTTATATGACGTAAATGGGCGACAACAAGGCCAAGATGTCTGCCTTACCAAGCAGTTCCGTTAATTCGGTGGTGATTGAGTTTTCAGCATCATATGGTGTCATCAAGTCAACGAATCATACTAAAAGTTTCTGTTCGACGATTGTGAATGGACTATATAACAAAATTATTATTCGTTGTGAAGCATTTTCCATTAAAGCGGGAGGGTCATCACCTGCGCACGCGCAGGAATTGAGTCCCAAGCGACGATAACAACACAGGCTAAACACGCAAAGACTCCTGGGTGGAAACTTGTAAACAATGACAGGCTATGGCCATCTGACGCACGTAACGACTCCCCCGCTTTAATTTTAGTCTGAGGTGCACAAGAGAGGCTTCAGCTGTCTGCTGTATAGCCATTAGTTAGTCCCTTTTAGAATTTGTAGGACGGTTGTATTGCGCACGTAAGCGAGCGAACTTTTGAAGCAATGCATAACACGATTTATTGTTGTGAAGACAACAATTAAAGGGCGACAGTCGTCGTGCCGCGTCCTGTTCGATATGGGACTCATAGTGACGTATACAACGCGTGTAAGATACATTGTTTATTTACATGAAATTCGAACACGGGCTGCGCGACGACCACCGCGCTTTAACCTAATAGATAAATTATCTCAGCTTTTGATTACGTCGCTTTAATCTCTAGTCGCGCATCAATTACAATTATATTTTGAAAGTTCACTATAGGCTGTCACACTTTTACGCTTTATGCACGTGCGCATAGCTGGTTAGCGCTGAGCTGACAAGAACCGTGCGTTACCGGTTGTTCACACCCAGAGATTAATAAAACAACTTGTGGGTAATATCGTTACACCAGATCGCCAGCTAGTCTGACAAGTTAGCG